CAATACAGGATTATCTTATCTTATCTTATCTTATCTTATCTTATCTTATCTTATCTTATCTTATCTTATCTTATCTTATCTTATCTTAAAGGCATAAAAATTACATTAGCAGAAAGAAGCTGATAGATAAACAAAAAATAAATTAGCCGATTATCTGAAAAAAGCAGGAAAAAAGTTCTAATTATCAAAACAGACGCTGAGATAAGCTAAAATTGGCACAAAGAAATAAAAAAAAAAAACGAACAAAAAGTGAAGGAAAATTTTAACTATTCTAAAATATTTTAACAATCTTGAAGACGGCTCCACTCATTTTCATTGAAAACAAAAATGGCCAAAAAGGCTAAATATCTCACTAAAGCTAAATTGCTGAAAAACCAAACGTCACAACCAGAATGTCCTGAAGGAGCTGAAAGTTTTCACACTGGTTTTGCTGAAACAGCACAAACACTGTGGAACAACACATGCCCTAAAAACACATGGAAGAAAAATGAATCATCTCAATAATATGAATGTTATTAAGTGTTCACGGTTAGAATATTAATCTTATATTATATACTATCTCCAGTTCATGTAAACAAACTGATTGGTCACCGTGTTGCAGCTGCTTTTCATGATGTTTCAGGGAGAAACGGCACTCTGCTTGTAACACCTGACAGATGCCATGTGGTTGGACTGAACTGGTTGAAGATCTCAGTAAAATAAAAATATATAAAACATCTATTATTGTCTAGGTCAGTGGACCTCGAGGGCCACCATCCTGCAGGTTTTAGTTGGGAAACGGCTAAAACATGCAGGATTGTGGCCCTCGAGGGTCAGGACTGAGAACTACCGGACTAAGTTTTCTTACTGTGGATGAAAACAGACGAGTGCACAAACAATATTAATCATAACAGAGAAATTAAAAACCTCCAAACTCATTATTCAAACTAATTCAAATCCTTTTTTCTAGTGTTAATCTTGCAGATAAATGGAACATCAGATAGTTCAGACAGTTTTCATATTTCTGCTGCACAGAGACGTTTCTGCACCCGAGTTAAACTCTTGTATCAAGCAAAGCATTTTCTAAGAGAAACAAGTTTTTTTCTTTTGTTTTGTTTAGCTTTTTGTTTTGGAGCAAGCTGACAGGTTTTAAATAATTCAGCAGATCTTTCTCTCTCTCGCAGCTGTTTGTGTTTCTGCTCAGAGCTACAGTCGTCACCTCAGGTGTACGCCTCGCCCTGTACGAGCGGATATGATTGACGCTTGTATTCTAAGAATTCAAAACACGTTAGAAACTTCGATCAGTGTTCCAACTTAAAGCGTATTCAGTTGCATCAAACACGACACACAATACAAACACTTACAGCACATCAGCACAGGCTGGAAAAACAAGCTTTGTGTTAATAAAGTTCAGTTTGCAAAGTAATAAGCGAAACATAAAACTTATCCTGATCGGTATCAGATGGTTTTACTGATGCGGTTATGAAATGCAAAGAAATGCAAATTTTAATTTATTATTTTGGAAAATGAGCTGGAAAAAAAGAATTTTATTATTTCTTTTTATAAAACTGCAGAAACATTATGTTTTTGGAGGCTCAGACTTCTCTTACGTTAAAAAAAGCTTCATTTCAGTCTTAAGTTTTTCAACTCACTCATCAGAATACTGGATGTTGCGCAACTTGTCTGATAACAGCTCTAAACTCTAAAGCAGGTGTGCCCAAACATTTTCTCTGAAAGGGCCAAAATTAAAATTAATCCAAGGGGGGTGGGCCAAATGCAATAATATAAATCACGAAATGCAAATATTTCAAGGAAAGTTGTATTTTTTATGATTAAGCTGCAGCCAGTGCGGTTGCCCACATTTTTTTGTTTGTTTTTTTGTTTTTTTGTTTTTTTCCCAGCCGATGGACATGGAGAAAATTCAACCTTTGCTCGGGCAGCAAAGGCTGTTGGGACTTTTCATAATTTAAATTTTGAGTATATGGGGTCTTATAAGGTGTGCAAATCTAGAAATGAACTTAAATCTAATATAAATGTCTCTTGAAGTTACTTGTATTTTAAGTTTAATCTTAACATAGTTCAAAGATAAAGTGAGCACCATGAGTTCAGTTTATCTGACCAGAGCTCCTTGTATCTATAGTTGGACCAATGCTTGAAAAGACTAAGTGCAAATAGTATTTCTACATAAAACAGGAGATTACAATCTAGTAACCAGGATAACTGCTAGTGGGCCAAATCAAATGGCTTGGCGGGCCAAATTTGGCCCACGGGCCCCACTTTGGGCACATCTGCTCTAAAGCCTTGTGATTGGCACGATCCTTTAATAGGTGGCTCGTTTTAACGAGGGTCAGGTTCTTACACAAAAGGTTTGGACTGGTGTCACCTCAGCCGACAGGCAGCGGCGGCTCATTAAAGTCACTGAGAAGAAGTCAAACTGGATGTGGTGGTATTTATTGTTCTGCGGTCGCAGCCTTTCATCCCGACCAGGGCTCGTTTTCAGCCTCCAACGCCGTGCCGCAGTGATTCATTTAAAGAGGAGGAGGAGGAGGAGGATCTCCTGCTCGGCCTGTATTTAGTCTTGTTTACTTGGCTGCAGGTCACATCTGAAACGGTGACACCTGCCACTGAGCTCCTCGGGTCACGCTAACAGTTGTTAGCTCAGATTTGTGTGATGAGACCCACAGAGCCATTACACCAATCATCATCACGTACTGTTCTGTGTTTACACGTACACTTGCATTAAACAATTAAAACTCATGCGCTCCCTCAGGAGGCCGTGTGTCGTCACAGTTTAAACCAGTGTTTCCCAAAGTTGGGGTCGGGACCCCACTTTGGGTCCCGAAACATCAAGGTGGGGTCCTGAAAAGATTTTCGGAATTAATTATGTTTTTTCCTTACTTGTTACAAAGGAGTGAGGTTAGTATATTTAAAAAGGATAAATTTAGTATAAAAATATTGCTACTATACCCATGTTTTGTTGACCTGATACAAATGTTTATATCCAAAAATAGCAGTGGCCACAGGTCTCTGCTACTGTTATTTTGTGGGTCAAAAGCTGAAAAGTTTGGGAACCACTGCACTTTGGTTCCCAAAGTTGGGCTTGGGAC